ATCCTATCTCCCACGACACCAATGGTGAGCCCCGGTCTTTCCCCTGCTCGCCGCCAGACCTCGCTGTTTCGGCCATGGCGCTCCACATCGGGAGCGCGTAGGCTAAGGCCGTCCCCGGCCTCTAAATACACACACACGCACGCACATGGCTAAGGAACGAACATGCCACGCACTCATTCGTGAGAAAAGGGGACCGCTGCTACGCCACCTAGCCTACGTCGTTCACCATCGGACCGCCGCCATGGCCGAATCAAGCCGCCACCGTGGCCAAAGCCACCGGAGGCTCTAGAAGTCCCCTCGACCTGCCCGACGAGCACGCTGGAGCACCGTGATGCTCACGCACACCACATGATCGGCTTTTGCCGCTGCCACCGCGCCATCCCTGTACGTCGTCGTGCTCGAGTAGCCGACGACGTGGCTAGACCCCTGGGAAACCTTGGCCGCCGTGATAGCGCCACCGTTGAAGTCACCGCGCCTTGGAGAAGCCGTAGCACCACACTACCGCACCCCTACGCCTTTGGCAAGGCTCGTCGGCGAGGCACGCCACCGACGGGAGCACACCGCTAGGAGAGGGAGGGAAATTTCTGCCCTGGATAGCCCACTCGTACACCGGGAGCACGGTGCACCGCACCCAGCTACGCCCGCATGGACGACGTCCACCACGGACCCGCTCTGCGGTTCATAGACCCACACCGCGTGGTCTACCATGGACCAGCACCACGAGGACCGACCCGCTAAGGGCCCAGACCGAGCCACGTGGCCTCCCTCCCTGCGCGACACGTGGCGGGCCAAGCCCGGCCCAAATCCAGCCCGTATCCAGGCCCGACCGGCCTAGTTTGGACCCGGCCTATGTTGATCGTTGACTGTTGACCTGGCCCCACATGTCAGCGACACAGAGGCTCGGGACCCACATGTCAGTGAGTGACATCATGACAACGTCACGCGGGTCCCACCTGTTAGTAACATCACAGCCGAAGTGACATCATGCTGACGTCACGATGACATCAGCAGCCCTAGCCCCACACGTCAGTGACCCTGACCGGTTGACCGTTGACTCATCCGTTGACTTTGACCGAACCCACATGTTAGTGACCCAAGAGCCCCTCGACCCACCTGTCGGAACTGATGACGTTGATGACGTCAGCTAGACCCCACCTGTCAGCTCAGAACCGAGATGATGACGTCAGCGTGACACGTGTCAGCCCAGGATTAATTCAGCCTTTTCCATTTTTAGAAATGATTAAAACTTCGGAAATTCATAACTAATTCATATGACCTCAGAAAAATATGAAACTAGGACCAAAATTCATCTAAAATCGAGCTCTATGCAATGAACTCATGTTTGAGTGCATTTGGCTCTTTTGAATTTTCATTGCTTCTTTGTGCTATTCTATAAACGTCGCTAACGCGACTATAATGCGATCATTTGTAGACTCGGAGGAGAACCGGACGGATGAGGATCGTGAGTATCGTGAGGAGTACGAAGATGACTACACTGAAGGTGCCACATCCCACCCAATCTCGTAGCACCTATTACGCATGGCTAAAATAGAAATACTAGTGCTTACTTTATTGTCATCATCACACTATGGTAGGACTTGCATGGTAGTATGCTTTCTTGATGGCCTTTACCTTGACGCAACCTTACCCCTGCTCACCCTGCTGTTAGGCTAGTCACACGTTTGCTGCTATATTTCATTGCTTATTACTTCTACTACGCTTATTCTACATTGATGCGTGGTGGAAAACTGGTGTTGTCTGGACTATGGAGAGAGTGCTGCGTGTGTGACTTGGGTGCGTAGAGGGTGAGGGTTGTGTTGACCAAGTTAGAGTATACGACAAGCCTGGGGCAAGTCTTGCCGTGGGGTGCTACCTGGGTGGGTAAATGGTATATAAGGTGGCCCTGGGTGTGAACCTGTGATGGGAGGAGCCCAGGGTGGAGGTGTTGTGGTGGCACGATAAATGGAAACCCTGATGAAGATATTCTGGCTTGGTCATCCCTAAGGACTTACTAGTACTCAGATTCACCGGGAAGCCTTACGTACCACTCACCCTATATGGTGCGGGACGGCCGGACTACTTGGTAGGATATTGCCACTGCTGCTAAGTTGATAGCGGACAGTGTGAAGGAGGTACGGGGCACGGAGGATTCCCCCCACACCCTTCCAAAACTTCATGGAGACCTTGTGGACCCGGCTCATGACTCACAGTTTTAGCCACCCCAGACCAGACTTGGGGTGTACCAGGGCTGAATGGTAGAGTGGAATTATCCTAGGCTAGCAAGCAGCCAGAATCAGCCCAGTTGACGACGGTCAGCGAGGAAGGCGGATCTTGTGGTTATGTAAAACCTCTGCAGAGTGTATGGTTGATCGATCGATACATATGCCGACTTGTTGGCTATGGACCTTTCTTGGGTTTCGCTTAAACTAAATAGTGAGATGAGTCCTTCTTTCTCCCCCTGGGAGTGAGTGTTGGACGTAGCTGTGGGCTACGGGCCTGAGAGGCGATCTGAGAGAGGAGTTGGCTGTCAACGAAAGCGATGGTATGGTTGTGGTATGGTGATGGTGTGGAGATGATGGTATATCGATCCCATGATCGAAACCTGGCTCTAGACGGAAGTGGGGTGGAATGGGTGTGGGAATGGTGTTAAAACTTGACCAACTATTATTATGTACTTGATATGCTAATACATAGGAAACCCTAGCCTTATAGGTTCCTTTTGATTATATCCAACTTGCATCCAATTTCCACAAAGCAATGCTCATAGGGTGGGAGTGGCCAGTACAAATCGTACTGATAAATTTTGGCACACAAGTTCTGCTGAGGAGTATAGCTCCGAGGAGTTTGACGGTTGAGGGGTTCGTTCCTACACTCAAGTTTGGCGATCTTATCTTCAAGTTGTTCAGAATGAATGCTACTTTTGATTCCGCCAATGCGGCGATGTAATAATTTATGTAATTCCGCACTATTTGTACTCTGATATTATCATTGTATGGATGTGATATTTGACTGAAATTTGGGTAATATGATCTACAACGGTCTTATTACACATCGACTCGTGGATTTCCCTTCGTGGAAATCAGGTCGTTTCACTAGCCCAAGGTGAGGTCATCTTCTTCCTAGGCTATGTCGAAGGTAGCCGTGGTCGCCCAGAGTGTTGCACCCATGGTGTCATAGTGCACCCGCATGCTGCTGCAGCCCTTACTGAGTGTTTGGTTGGGAGGACGATGTGGGACGGGATAGGATGGACCCGAGATCAGCGTTGTTTGGTTGGGAGGCGGAGTGGAGCGAGGACGTCCCCAACGTGAATATTCGCATGAGATGTGGGGCGACCCCGTCCCCCAAAATTTCACAGACGGGGTCCGTCCCAGGTGGGACGAGCGGCTCATGGAGGTGTCGAACGTGGACGGGGTCGCGGAGAGGAGCTGCGCCGGACGCAACACGGAGGAGAAGAGGAGAGAGGAGCCATGCCGGATGCGGAGGAAAAGAGGAGAAGAGCGCTTGAGCGAGTACCGTACCGCCACCGTGTGGGGGGGGGCTTCGGCCGGCAAGTGCGCAGGGGAGATCTAGCCGGCTGCCGTCGCGCGGGCAAGCACGCAGCCGAGATCCGGCCCACTGCCGCCATGAGTGACCTTCGGCTGCTGGCGTGCGGGTGAGGGCGCGAGCGAGCAGCGGCCCCGCCGCCGCCGTGCGGGTGAGGGCCAGCTCCGCCCCGCCGACGCCGCGCTGCGAGCCTAGGACTCCGAGGAAGACGATGCGTGCGTGTGTAGGAAAAAGGAAGGGAAAGGAGGAAGGAAAAAATAAATAAGATGCTGACGGATGGGTCCCACATGTCATGTGACTCGTCCCACTTTTAATGTCCCATAACCAAACAAAAAACAGAGCCATCCCGTTCCTTCCACAATGAGATCGTCCCGTCCCTGAAAACTGAGACGGGTCCATCCCATCCCACGTGAAAACTAAGACGGGTACATCCCATCCCACGTTGTCTCCCAACCAAACAGGACAAGCAAGGGTGTTGCGTCCATGCCTCTCCTCTAGTTATTGTCTCCTAAAATTGGCATGCCAAACAGTAAATTTCTTATCATGAGATTCTTTTGGAAGCTAGATGTGGGAGAAAACTACTCCCTCTGTCCCTTATCTTTAGGCTTCATTTGGAAACTGTTATCCACGGGGCTTTCCCGGCTTTTCCCCGGGCTGGAGCCCCACGAGGGAACTGGGCACGGGCCATATTACCACGACGTTTGGAAGCCCACGCGGAGGGCCAGGGCGACCCGACCCTCGCGTTTTCCTCGGGCGGATTCTCCCGGACATACGAGGCTGGGCAGCGCTTCCATGTATCTTGCTGGGGACTGGGGATGGCGCCCTGGGGAATTGAATGGCCGCTAAAATCCCTCTCTGGGCGTCCGTGCCCCGGGCTAATCTGTCCCGAGCTCCCAAAGGAGGCCTTAGTGGTTTTGGCTATGGTTCTGGCTATCCAGATTCAGAGCATATTTTACGTATCTAGATGTTACGCGTGTCCTGAATAAGAGATTCGATCGTGTATCTGGGTGTAGGTCCAAACGACAAATATGGGGGACAGAGAAAGTAGCTTTGATTCCAAGCATGGTGAAAAATGTTGTAAAAAAAGCGTGGTGAAAATAAATGGTTAGAAACGGTGCGTATAGCAGCAGCCCAGCGCTATGGTCTTCCGCCTCTGGACAGCAGAAGGTCGCTCAACCGCAGACCTGGTCCACCACGCATCTGGACCGTCCGTCCGCACCTGGTGCGCACGTCTTCGCTTCCAGATTCCGCCACGTGTCCCCTACCCAATTGCCCAATGGCTTTGAGAAGCCTCCGTCCGCGTTCCCCGTTTCTCTCTCCTCTGGCCCCGAGCCTCCGACGACTCTCGACTCTCGTGGCGTGGCCCGCTTGGAGGTTCTGGTCTTCTAGAGGAGGCCTTCCCCCTCGGGAGGGAGGGAGGGAGGGAAGGAAGCTTCTAGAAACCTTTCCCGCGGCCGATGAAGGAAGCCAGCAGCAGCCGTGTCGGCGGCGCCGGCGCCGGCGCTGAGGACATCGGTTCCTCGTCCGGTGAGCCCCTTTGGTCCCTTTTCCGATAGTCCGACCTATGATTATAGGAGTTTCTTGTTTCTTCCTCCATCGTCAAATTCATAGCCAATCTGGTTCCGTTCCGTGTCGTGTCCTCCATCGTAGCGGTATTCTACGAAGCGATTTTATCCGCGTTGGTCTTAGGACTTGGTAGCAATGGCGTCGCGGTGTGGCATTGTCTTGTCGCGTCCAAGGTTGGTTCTAGACTTCTAGTGGCCGATTTCGAGGGAGGCGTTAGGGTTTATATATGCAGGCAGCAGGCTCATTGCTGGCTTTCTGGTGAATTCTGGTGGGATAGTCGTCCTGATTCGAAGAAGAGGGGAGGTTGAGGCAGGCCAATGTTTTGGTTTTCCTGTGTTCCGGTGTAATTTCAGTTTGGGTCAGCAAACTAGTAGAAGTGGACGGATTTGGGGACTAAGGGAATTTTCCTGCCTGATCCGTGGTCCCCTGGTTCCTTTGACTGCACAGCTTGAGACTTTGACATTTTGTCGCCCCCCGTTTCGCTGAAAAAATAAGCCGAACACTGTTCGGCTGATTGGTTGCGAGAGGAAAACACTGTTACGGCTGAAAAAATAAGCTGATAAGTACGGATTATAAGAGAAGTGAACAGGGCCTAAGACCAGTAGAAATATAGGCTGCTTTCGGGCTGACACGAAATCACTGTAGCGACTAAAAAGCTACTGTTTACGGCTGAATTTGTGAAAAGAAAAATACTGTTCCGGATGAAAAAAGAAGCGGATCAAGCCGGGTATGGTGTCAGCCGAACGTAGCCGTAAAGTCTATTTTTTAATCTCCAACTTACACGGCAGTCTGGTCCTAGACAGCCTCTCCTGATAAATTTAGTCCTCTAGCGGTTTTTAAAGGAGGTTTCCTATTTTCTAAAAATAATAAAATCTGGTTTAATCTCTAAAAAATCATTACTAATTTATTTTAAATCAGAAAAGTGTGAAACTAGTACCATTTTTTTTAAAATGTTATATATGTTGCTGCTCTATTTGGAGTTATTGATAACTTATGTATTTATATGTTCCTATTGCTTTATTGCTCATAGTCGTCCTCATTATTTATTTGAAATAAATCAGATTAAAATAACTAAAAATAGAGTAGCAACAGATAGATACCATTTTTAGAAGAAAATTGGTAGTAATTTTAGATTTTTTATTTAAAATAAATTAATTATGAATTTTTAGAGATTAAATTGGATTTTTATTTTTTTAGAAAATAGAAGACCATCTTTGAAACTAACCAGAGGATGAAATTTGGCCGCTTTGACAATTCATAGTTCAATGTTGAAAATCGAACTCCGTGCATGTTGTTGGAGGTTGAAAATTTGACTTTACCCAAGACTAAAATGTCACCTTTTCCTCTTGCTATGGTCATTATTCTATTATATTTTCTAGTGACTAAAACTAAGTGTTCCACTAGACAGTTGTTAGGATTTATTGAAGTTTTGCCTTGCAATGTTTGTTACTGCTTGTTAGTTGTGGTTTTGATTTCCTCGTGGTTTAATAGATTAACCTTCTAATTCTTAGTTATGTGATTCTTCATAAACCTATTCTGTTGCTTGCTTTATGTCATGATTTTTATGATTCTATCCCATCTCGAATAATGCATAATTTGATAGATTAATAGTTGTTTATTGCAATGGAAAGAGATTAGGGCAAACAGGATGTTAGCTCCTAGAGTTGTTGAAGTTTTTTTATTGATTTTTTTTGTCTGGTGAGCTGGTTGTATTTATTCATTTCACTGCTTCGCTGAAACTTGACTTTATTCTTATGTAATTGTTTGAAATTTTGTACTTCTAGTGTCCAACAATTGTTTCCCACAAGATGAGGGTATAAGCTCCAGCGAAATGGACAATACTGAATGCTCTGAGACGCCCTCAGAGGTGTCGGGTTCTGAAAGAACAAGACCTGAAGATAGCAAAAAACCATCTTCCGTACTTGATAAGATATCTATTAAAAAGAAGGTAATCTAAACTATCATGTTTGCTCGCCCATGCTATTGTGGTTCATTATTCATGCTTTTGACAAAAAATATGTAGCTTTTGTCTTTTGCCACTGTTTACATGCAAAATGTTTTTCTAAGGGAACATATTCTACATTTAATGGTTGCACTGCTAATGTATTGTATTACATAGCCATGAATGTAGAAAAATTAGCAGCGGATAGCTGTAATCATCGCTGAGTTTCTAGCACCATTTTTTCCCCCTCAAACCAGCTTAGAGCTGCATGTCATTATATTAAGAAGAAAAAATGTTAATAAAAAACAAGCCCCATCAAAGCCTCACAAACACAGCACACGCCCCACACTCACACAACACAAAGCTCGCGAATTTGCAATTCACTATCAATTAGTTATGTGTGTACTTTTATTCCTTTCTACAATTTTTTAATTAAATGACAGTTTCTACCTGTTGCATCTTGTTTTGAATTTATTGCAGCTAAAATTGTTCAGTCGAATGACTACACTAAAAGATGATGGAACTGTAGTTGTCGATATCCCCACTAATATTGAAGCTGCATCACTTGATCTTCCTTCAGGGGATCACCACAATGTGGCCTTTGGTGGTGAACCATTGGACTCTTCAGATCTTCAGCACAGGCCACCAATGCAAATTGCTATGCTGATTGTTGGTACAAGAGGGGATGTGCAGCCATTCATAGCTATAGGAAAACGTTTGCAGGTGAGCATGATATTGAATTCTTTTGATACAATATGATCCTTTCGCTATTATTTAGATTTTTTCATGGTGGTTAGTTAAAAGATTGTGAAATGTGCCTGTAGAGGATCAGTATGTGGACCAATTTATTTACGATAAGCTAACGAAGCATCGAGAGCATGTCATGATAAAATAGGCGTAGAATAATGCTATGTGCATGTTATAACTGGCTGGCAGCAAATATTTGAGGGTCCAGCACAGCATAAGGGAGCCAGTATACCAATTGTTGAATTTTTCACCAAATGGAACTGCAACATGCTAATTGTTTTATGTTTTGTTCAAGATGAGTAACAATTACTTCTGTTAGCAGGACTATGGTCATCGTGTTAGATTAGCAACCCATGCCAACTTCAAGGACTTCGTGATGACTACTGGGTTGGAGTTTTATCCCCTTGGTGGAGATCCAAAAATTCTTGCTGGATGTATGTGAGTGTAATGCTTGATTGTTTTTGTGCTTTCACCTTGGAGTTTGCTATAAATATATCTTGCATAACAGTACAGGGTTGGTAATTTGAGCAGACATGGTTAAGAACAAAGGATTCTTGCCTGCAACTCCATCAGAAATTCCTATCCAGCGCAAGCAGATTAGGGACATCATATTCTCCTTGCTTCCTGCTTGCAAGGATCCGGACATTGATACTGGTGTTTCTTTTAGTGCGGACGCCATAATAGCTAATCCAGCAGCATATGGTAATCCTCTTATTATTCCTACTTTATTTTACATTTCTGTTTGATTTGTTAAACTTCTAATAAGTCAATTATAAGGCATTCTTTTGGCTCTGAAGGAATAGCCTTTGCACTTACCGCATTTTGTTTGTTATCTTAGTTCAACTGCTGACCTAAATGAGTGCCTATACAGGACATGTACATGTGGCAGAGGCTCTCAATATACCGATTCACATAATTTTCACAATGCCGTGGACGTAAGATCTCTCTCTCTCTCTCTCTCGCATGGACCAATATGGCCTCGATTTTAACTTCAAGCGCATCAGTGATGATTTTTATTTTATTGCCAGGCCTACCTGTGAATTTCCGCATCCTTTCTCTCATGTGAAGCAACCTGCTGGATATAGAGTAAGTTGATTGTTGTTGCATGAAGTAATCATCAGAAGATAGAATGTCTATTAGTTGTAAAGACTATTACTTTAAATGTGAAACTTCCTCATAATACCTAATATCAAAAAAATATTTGACAAATATGATAATACAACAAGTAGACATTCTATCTTTAAAGGAAACTTCCTCACTGTTTCTTGTGAAACAGTTCCATTACATATCAAAGACTATCATGTGGCACCCGTTTGACTATTACTTTGGGTTGCAGCTTTCATACCAGATTGTTGACTCTTTTGTCTGGCTTGGCATAAGGGATATGATAAATGATCTCCGAAAACGGAAGCTGAAATTGAGACCAGTTACATACCTAAGTGGTACACATGCTTATTCGAAAGATATTCCTCATGCATATATCTGGAGTCCTTACCTTGTCCCCAAACCAAAAGGTCGGTACCTCATGCCTTGTAATACCCCAATCAAAGTTAACAAGATTTTGAAAATGCCTTGGTACCTTTTCTTTTACTTCATCAAGATTATTGTGCATAAACTAGTCATACAATTTTGGATTTTTTTTTCTGGAATACGCAGGAGAGCTGCGTATCATTGCATTAAGAAAGGGGATAAAAGGCTTATATAGCCATACAACAGCACACACACCAACTTTACACACCGTCTCTAGGTTACATACGCGCCTGTTAAAAAAGTAAAAAGTCGACCTCCCTCAACAGGCGCTGCTATTTAATGAGCTTCCTTAAATATCTGAATACTTCTGTCAATTTCGGGAACTAAACTTCGCTGAGTCATAGTTACTATTACTGATGTTAATAACTGATTTTTTTATTGCTGAAAAATTAATCTGTGCCTCTTTTACAGACTGGGGACCTAAAATTGATGTTGTTGGATTTTGTTTCCTTGATCTTGCTTCAAATTATGAGCCTCCCGAGCCCCTTTTGAGGTGGTTAGGGAGTGGTGACAGTCCTATTTATATTGGATTTGGTAGCCTTGTAAGTTTTATTTAGTGCTCAGAACTAATGTATTTTGATGCGTTTACTTTTCTTTCTACATGTAAGCCACGATTATGCTTTAAATTGTGTTACATTTATATCTGGCTAAATGCCGTATATATACTGTTTATTCTATGTTGGTCCATTCTTCGTTCTCTATTGTGTTCGTGTGGAAAAAATGGAAAATAGAGTTGGTAGGTTTGTTATTAAATGGAACTGACATGTAATAAAATTTTGTGAAATAAAGATGTGCCCATGAGCACTCCAATGAACCATAAAAATGGAACTTGGTGTTGAGGTTTGGAAATGCAATTGTATGACTCATTTTGGGATCAAGGATGGTAGGATCATATGTCAGTCACTCGGCCTTATAGTTGGTATTTCTGATAACTGTATGATTTACAGTGACATTTTATAGTTCAAAGATTATTCTGTCCAGTTATGGCACTGGTTAAAATTAATTGCCTCACAAAAGCATAGCTCAGTTTTAGTCTGCAATGAAAGTCCTTATTTTCTGTAGATTAGAAATTGACTCAAAACTTACTATGTTATAAACTTATTAGGAGTAATTTGCTGGGTCGTGGTCATGTGTAAACTAGGGTGTGGCACAAATGATCTTGTATATGGGTGTTCGGCGTGTAGGGTCAGCCTCTCCCTTGTTTTTTCCTCTTAATGAAATGACACGCAGCTCTCCTCCGTTGTTTGAGAAAAAAATAACCTTAATTTGCCCAACAAAAGCATGGGCTTAGTTTCTTTGAGTAGTTGACATGAACTTGAACCTTAAGCTGAATTTCTTTGAAATGTTCAGATGAAGTTTGACATTAGAAGGCATTTCAATACTCTATGAGGCTTTCTTATCTTATAGCAAGGATCTCAAACATGCTTACATTTTGGTTCCACTACTATAAGTCAAATCTCATCTACAAAGTTGTTGAGGCTAAATGTTGCCTTGATCATTTTGGCCTACAGTTGTTGCTGTACAATTCCTATCTGCAATAATTTATCACTGATATCAAGATAAAATCTCCCTACAGCTGTGTTTTAATTATTTTGTGACATTTTGGCCTTCCTGATAAGTAGCTGCTACACATTTGTTTTGTTTGTCTTCTGTTTTAGTTTATTACTGATGACTCTTATTTCCAGCCAATTCCAGAACCAGATAAGTTAACAAGAATCATTGTCCAAGCACTTGAAATTACTGGACAGAGAGGTATCATTAACAAGGGTTGGGGCGGGCTTGGAAATTGTAAGTTATAAGAGTTCTTTAACTTTTGATATGTTACCATGTTCTTCACTTTCAGAGGCTTTGCATGTCAAAAATAATAATAGCATGTGCATGTCTAACTGTTTTATTTGTAGTGGAAGAATCGAAGGAATTTGTGTATGTACTTGATAATGTTCCACATGATTGGCTCTTTTTGCAATGCAAAGCTGTGGTAAGACCTGTCTTTCTTTCTCAGATGCTTATATGCCAAAAATCAAGTATGATGGTTTAACATGGAGGAAAGCTTATGCAGATGAAGTTTGGGAAGAATTAGAGATGAGCTTTGCTGATTGCATGTCATGTGTATAGTTGCATTCCTCATTGCATGTTAGGCTGTGTTGTCCTGGAATTCATACTTGGGATTCTAATAAAAATATAGAAGAAGTTGGATTTGGAACTAATGGAGTTGAATAAATAAATACGCAAAGATTAGGAATACTGTCAACAGAATATCGTCGGCAGTCCTCCGAGGGGTATCCCACGAAGGTAGATTGATCGGCAGAGAAGCGTGTGATCAAGAACAAGAAGGCAACAGAGACACACGAGTTAGATAGGTTCAGGCCGTCAGTATGACGTAATACCCTACTCCTGTGGTCTGTTGGTTTGTATTAGCTATTGTATGATATTGCGTGAGTTTGGAGGGGGTCCCTGCCCGCCTTATATAGTCCGGGGGTAGGGTTACAAGTCGGTTAGATCTAAGAGATAACCGGAAAGTAATAACATATTACAGGAATCTTGGGATCATACGTATCCTAACAGATCTCGTAGTATCTTCAGGATGTCTTCCCGATGTCTTGCGGGAGGCGCCGAGCAGAGTCGTGCCCCGCAAGGCTTCGTCTTGTGGGCTAGGCCGCCCCTGGGGGCGCAGCCCATGTGGTCTGTCGTGGGTATCCGGGGTCGTTACCCCCACAAATACGTACAGAATCAATGGGATTCTGATCATGTTATTGAACAGAGGTAGTGAAATGCAAGTGGTTCCTTGTATTTTTGCGGACTTGTGAGAGACTGAAAGAAGTCATGCCCGGTGAGGCTGTGACAATGGAAGTGCTTGACGTTTCCTTTGTTAGCTTTACCTCTGACAATAGCTCTGGCTGTGTTATGTGCTGAGTCTGAACACTGGCGATAGTGCACTGATCTTCATTGTTGAGTGTGGTTTCTTCTATTTTTGTTCTGAGATTGTGATATTGCTGTGCTATGTAAAAACAGTTCAGACCCAGGAATGGCAGTCGATCGACGTAAGGAGGCAAACTGGCTGTTAATAGAGGAACTTCATATAGGAAAGAACTCTTCAGTTATCTTGGAATTAACGACTTGTAATATGGCCTTTGTCCTTTTCAGGTACACCATGGTGGTGCTGGCACTACTGCTGCTGGTCTTAAGGCTGGGGTATTCCCTCCTCTCTTCCTATTTATGTGTGTGTGTTTTCCGACTGATGTGTTTACCGCTAAATTTTGTAGTGCCCCACTACCATCATACCATTCTTTGGCGATCAATTCTTTTGGGGCAGCATGGTGCATGCCAGAGGATTGGGGGCACCACCTATACCTGTGGAGCAATTACAATTGCATTCACTGATTGATGCAATTAAATTTATGATTGATCCAAAGGTAAACTCCGCCTATGTTGTCTCAACATAGCAGGTCCCAAGCTCTGGTAAAGGAGGAGGGTTGTGATAGGCGTGGCGAGCCAACGTTAAATCTAGCGATTCTAATGGAGATGAAACCCGAAAGAAAAATTGCTTCTACTGGGTTTCATCTCTAGCCTACCCCAACTTGTTTGGGACTGCTTTGTTGTTGTATATAAAGGAGGAGGTGTTTGAAAATAATGCAGATATTACCTGCAAGTCTTTAGTGTCTATGTTTCTAAAAATGTGAAAGCAATAAGAAGTTGCAATTCGTATTGAGTTGTTTCGCTATGTTTGACTGCAGGTAAAGGAACGAGCTGTTGAGCTAGCAAAGGCAATGGAATCAGAAGATGGTGTTGATGGGGCTGTAAAATCCTTTTTAAAACATCTTCCACAGAAAAGGGATTCCGAGACGACGCCAACTGCACCACAGTCAACATTCATGCGACCGCTGCTTCTCCCTGTAAAGAGGTGTTTTGGCATGGCATCCTAACCCTGCATTTCCAAGCACCTGCTTTGATTTTGTGGCATCACTGGAACAAGTTGCACCACATTCTAAAGAAGGGGAAGTACCAACATCTGTCGCCAGTCGTTTCATCCTATATAAAGATTAAAGAATGTAGGTAGGGCTACTAATTATTCATATACTTAGTTTTTGAATATATATATATATAACTTGTGGTCAGTGTGCATACAATACGGTAACTTGAGACTTCGGCTCCTCACAACTGTATATATATTACAGAACTAAGCGGGATCGGTAACCGCTGGTCTTTGGGTTGTTACGGAATTTCATCCAAACTTTTGTCCACCCAATTATTTGATCTGAAGCCGATTGCTGCTGAATTTACATGTGCATATTTTACAAAGCTATCGGTTGGCTGACTCCAATTACATTTTACAAATATATACGTTTCGGAGTAGCACTGTAGCGAATATTGACAAGTTCAAATGTTTATAGCTGTCCCCGCTGTCGATGTTGCATGTGGAGATTTGGTCAATCGAGATGTTCGTATAGCTGTCGATTGTGTATGTGATCTTCTAGTTGAGAGGTGAGTTGAGCTCCTCTGTGAACAACTGACATGGTGCTAGTATTTTGTTTGCCTCCAGCCAGTAAAATTGTCAGTTGTCACCTTTACCGTGTGCCCGCGTGGAGAAAATAGCTGGTCAAACCTTCGTGGAAATTAAGAAGGGAGCAATGTTAGCATGCATGACCCAGTAATATCAAAGGTGGGGTATGAAAGGCGACCAGCTGTAATAGGAAATCCAACGAAGCAATCAAGAAAAGAACGGGTCCATCAATAATTCAATATACGTAATGCAAACCTACGATCTAAGCATGGCTGCAGCTCGTGGGAGCGGCTAGCTCGTGAATTTCAAGGGGTTCCGTCTTTTTGCATGTCATATCTGGTTTGACCATCAATTTCAAAAAAAATATATAGTTTCACAACATGTGAATTATATATTATGAAAGTATTTTTCATACTAAGTAAAAAAACATAAATTTTATGTTGTTAACTATATAATTTTTAAAAAATAATAATTAATGGTTAAAAGATACAAATGTTTGATTTAGGACATATGAAAAAACAGAGGAATACTTTGTATATAGACATCACATCGAGCCTTAGATTCATTTATTTACATTTAAGCTCCCGGTATACATTTTTGCATGGGCACAATTCTTCGTTCAAATCAAACTTCACTTTGACTTTGCTCTAAGTCAATCTTTTTAACTTTAACGAAATTTATGGAAAAAAAGGACATGGACATTTGCAATATCAAATTACTTCTATTGAAGCCTTCATGCAATATGTTTTGATATTGCATTTATTTGAACACATGTAGATGTTAATATAAGATAGATATCGTTCTAAGCGTTTCATCAAGGTTAAAAGAAATAACTTAGGAAAAACCTAGAATAAACTCTAATTTGAATGAACCAGTACGTATAGAAAAGAAAAGCAAGCAAGCATTGTCTATGCATGTTTTCTTGTTTGGAACGGTCTGCTGTGTGCACGCCAAAGTTCCGGATTTGAATACTGAAGTCGTCCCTCCGTACGTTTTTTTTTCTACAAAATTGAAAAACACAAACCGTAGCAGCCGGCCATGGACCGCGCTCACTGGCATATGGGGCCCACTGGACCGACGCGTGGATGACGGGCCGGGCCCGGGCCCGACGGAGACGGAAAAAGAAGAGAGCACGGCTGGCAACCGAGACCGGCCGGGGACCACGACGACGCACGCCCAGCGATCACCCACCAATATAAGCGCAGGAGCAGGCGGCCAGGCGCGCCCCCGTTCCGCGAGCAAAGAAAGCAAAAGAAATCGGAAAGCCTTCCGAGAAAAGGCAACTGTGTGCGGGGGAGGAGCCCCGTCCGATCCGGCGCAGCCGCTCGCTCGTCAAACCCCCCGTAAAAATTCTACCTTTTTGTCTCTGTTTTTCAGTTCGCCGTCCGTCGATTTAGGCGCCTCTATAGTCTCTTGTCTTTGCTCGATTCCGCCGCGGCTTCCGTCCGTGTCGGTAGATCGATTGCGTGGGGGGATGGTGGCAGTAAGTGCTACGTACGCCGCTGCGATCGGGGTTGTTCATCTTACCCCTGGTGGTGGCGTGCCCCTTCTCGATTTGGGTGGATGCGTAGGGTTTCGATTCGGGGAGGCAGGCGCTGCTGGGTTGGTGCCGATCCGGTTCGTGATCCTTGCCGTGGTAGTTGGGGGGATTGCGAGTTCGTTGGTTCTGACGACGGTCTGAGGGCGTCGACTTTTGGGGTGCCGGCGATTGTTCATCATCGGCCCGCGAACCTGGAATAATTTAGGACCAAGCCAAATGTACTTAATTGGTGTTCATTCACCGCATACGCATCTTGGCACTAACTTCCTGTTTAGTATGTCCAAAAAACTTGGTGTTAAATAGGATGCAATTTCCGTCGCCAATATGCGAATTAGCCTTTGTTTCATTTTCTTTGCGGGCTTAAGGGATCCATTTACAGCCTATGTGATGCCTTTTCTGACAACTGTCAACTGATTAATTTTATATCTGCAAATGAGATGAGAGGCATGGCAATACTAGAAGCAAAATATTATGGGGTTCCACTGATAGAATTATGGGTCAATTGTTGACACATGAAAACCCTTGATATGGTGAAATGTGGTTTCCTGATTTTGTGAAAATGATCAATGCGTTTTTTACTTTTGTAGTAGACTCTCCAATGACTTTTGGCTGTTCATGTTATTCTGTCAATTATATAGTACTAGTGTTAGAATTGAGTGAAATAAAGTTCATGCAATCTAATTTTTCATGTTCTAGCTTTTGCTGACATATAGTACTCTACTAATGATTTCAGGGTTAACTGTGACATATGATCCCAGATCTTGATCCACTTGAAGTATTCAGTACATACAACTGCTTCTTGTAGGTTAGTACCAACTTTTTGTGTAAATATCAAATGAACATATTAATTATGTGCTTCAGGTCTCATAGGTTTTTCCTGACGTGCCATTTGCTTCTTTTTGTTATATAAGATGTGCTCAGTTAGGCCACTTTTTATAGTCAACCTACTTTATCATTTCTAACATGCCATTGGGAAGCTAATGTGAACTTTCAGGGAATGACATTTCCTTGGGTAGAAGTACTATATTTGCCTTGTAGAGGAGCCTTATTTAATGTTGCCATTATGTCTTTTGGAACAATATATATTGTGATTCACAGCCAGTAACTCATGATTTGTTTTAATATTGTATTTGTTATATCGAGTTGTGCTGATTCTCTTCAACTTTCGTTGGGCTTTGATACTTATCTGAATGTTTATGCCCTACTACCTTTTTAGAAATATATGGCTGGTATATGTTTTCAAGGTGGGAGATCCTTTGAACCAGAATGCCCTCTTTTTGAAACTAAAATATCTGTTGGAAACCAAAATTGTCCCTTAAATGATCTCAAATATTAATTTAATAAGCTTCACAGTGGAATACTTGATACTTAGTATTGACTTATCTTCTTTCTTGGTCTGGGCACTTGCTTTTGTGTTTATATAGAAAAATTTATCTGTTTTTGATGAGTACAGAAAAATATGTTTTCACAATTTCTTTTTGCCTAAACTGCTTGACTTTTTAACTTGACACAACAACTTACTTTTTTCAACAATTCTAACGGTTAAGTCAATTTAACACAGTTGGTTTCAAGATGACAAGTAAGAAAAGTAACAAATCTACAGTCACATCACGCACTGTTCTGCATATGGAATGGGACAGGATTTCTTGCCCTATTTGTATGGAGCAACCCCACAATGCCGTTTTACTTATATGCAGTTCATACAAGAATGGCTGCAGATGTTACATTTGTAACACAAGCCATCGACACTCTAATTGCCTTGACCGGTTCAGAAAAATGAATGGTGATAGTAAGGTCCGTGCTTCACACTCAACCTATTCGGTGCTTTCAAACTCCAATATCAGAACTGTCCAACCAAGAGCTCACTATAATATGATTTCTAGACGTTCACGGAGCCCAAGACTCGGAAGACATGTTGATAATGAAGGATCTTATCATACCAATGTAAACAGTGGTCCAAATCCAGATGACATATCTAGACCTGAATCTGATTTCACTAACTATCAAGAATTTGAAAACTCAACCTTACCTGTTGAAGGAAGTATTGTATTTGGGGAATGCCATGATGCCATGCAAAGTTCTGCTGAAATGAAATGTCCTCTCTGTAGAGGATCTGTATCTGGCTGGATTCCTGCTGGAGATGTGAGACAGTATCTAGACAATAAGTTGAGAACTTGCTCTCACGATTCCTGCAAATTTACTGGAAACTATGAGCAACTACGTGAACATGCAAGGACTGCACACGTGCTTACAAAGCCTGCTCATGTAGATCTGTCAAGAAAAAGAACTTGGGATCGCCTTGAGCATGAGCAGGAGGTCGGCGATGTCATCAGTGCAATCAGGTCCCAGGTACCTGGGGCAATAATAGTTGGTGACTATGTTATTGAGACTAGAGATGACATGTCCCCAGACATAGACTCCGGCGATGAAAGTAGTGAATGGTACTCAGACCATGTTGAATCACCAGATAATATACTTGATTCCCCAAGGGTTTGGCCAAATGAAGCGCTAGGGTCACCTAGCATTTGGTCAAATGAAAGGCGTAATTTGGCAAGGCTGCCACAGAACAACAGAGTTTCACCCAGGCTTTCATTAGGCAGTAGGCGAACCTTGCATTCAGGTTGGCAGGGGGGTCGTCGGTCAAGCAGACGGAGTCTACTGCAACGGGGCTTCTCAAATCACCACTCTGGACACCGCAGCAACTCTCGTGGACATCGTCACATGCTTCTGGATAGGTCCTATGCTGGTGCCCGAGATTCAGGGACTGGCAGGAGCCTAAATCCGTCGGTGGTGCCAAGCAGGCGGCAGCGGCTGCGGTACACGCACAGAAGTCACTACTGATGGAAGCAATAGCAGTTCCACTGTAGAACTTCATTGTTGGATCCATCCATGCTATCTTTGTAAATATATGCCAAGGCTACGTTTTTTATTTAGTGTGTTAGTGTATTTAATTTAATCTGTGTAAACAATCAATCCCAGATGCAAAAGGAACTATATATATATTTCTCTTATTAAATGCCATTTTACTCACGATTGGACTGGGTTTTTCTTTCGTTCTCAATTGGGTTAAAATGTTATTGGATTACATGCAGGCGATTGTTGTTATACTTGCCTGGTGATTTCTCAGAAATGGCATCAGTGTGACTATGCGTTGACTGCATATCTCCCTTCTTAGGAATGCTGGATTTTCCCCCTGTTTCCTGTTGATTCCCGTGAAGTTCGTGTGTTCCAAATGGGGTCTTAGTAAAATAAGTAAAATAAAATTGTCTCGCGTGTTTTTTATTTTGGTTTTGACAAACTAAGGGTCCATCTGGATACAAGAGTTAATTATTAGGTAGTTAAACATTAGCTAAAATTATTAGGTTAATAGATAGGCTATTTTTTAACCGAGCCGCCAAAGAGTTGTCAGCTATTAGCTAGCCAACCCCCAACCATTTTGTGCTAGTTTTTAACTTAACTAGTAACTAGCTCTAGCATATAAAAAATGTCCTAAGAATGTCTAAGGGCATATTTAGATGAGCAAGGGTTAGTTACTAATTGGGCTAAAAATTACTCCATCCATATCAAATTATAAGTCATTCTAAAAATCTTGGAGAGTCGAAACATCTCAAGTTTAACCAAATTTATATGATAACATAACAACATTTATGATACTACATAAGTATCATCAGATTCTTCATTAATCATATTTTTATAGTATACATATTTGATGTCATAAATCTTTGTAATTCTCTCTATAATTTTGGTCAAATTTGAGATACTTTGACTCTCCAAGATTCTTGAATGACTTATAATTATGAATGGAGGAAGTAGCTCAAATTGTTAGGGTTGGCTAGTTAGTTGTCTAACAACTAGTTGAAGACTTGTCTAAAAAAATTAGTCCACCTATTAGCTCTTATGTTTGGATGCACTGGAGCTAATTTAAACTAATTCTTAGCTAGCTAGTGATTAGTATCCAAACATGCTTAACTATAACTATTGCTTTTCCTGAACGCTGCCTGGAGCTCTACTTCGACCAGCTTTGCAAACCTCCTGCCTTCTCCCAACCTGTTTCTTGCAGTAATGGAGGAACACCGAACGCGTCTATTGGTGCGAGTTGGCAACGCATCATCGTTGGACAGCTGGGGATGAGAATCTGAGAGCCGAACGTTTGCCACAGCTGGGGATGAGAATCTGGGTCTGATTGCTCAAGAGAGATGACCTATCATATATTCATATCGGCATCTCTTGCGTGCTCTGTCAGTATGGTAGTATGCTGAACAGCTGAAAGGTACCTTGTCAGCTTCAATTTGTTTCTGAGTGCATACCAGTAGCATATGCAAGGATATGCATATGGGGTTAGATTTCTCTCTCACAAAACCCAGTTGACAATTTAAAAAGCCGATGGTTGGGGAGAACCAGTTGACAAAAGACGTCGCATCATGAACCTTTAAAAGGGATCAAAACGGTCAGAAACGATGGCAAGAAACATAAATTATTTTTCGTTTTCATATTTTTTTCATGGAAACGAAATTGAAAACGATATTGCCATGAACAAATAGGACACCAGTATTATGCCATGTCGATATCGATCGGTAATCAATAATGCATAGAGTTTGTTGTCCTCTCCTTTTGTTTAACGTCTTGTTTGTTTTCTTTTTAATCCTTCTTCAGTAGGGGCTCCGGCCCCTCCTGTGCTAGGAATTGACGTCGTAGCTTTCAGTCAACTAACCAAACATATCAACTTCATCCATATTTTGCTGGTGTTTTTCTTTTTTGTGCTTTTTTACTTTGCCATGCGTTTGTGATGGACATGCTTTTAATTTCCTTTTCAACTCCATAGAGACTCCCTTGCCCTATCTTTTTTTTATTCAGCAACTTCCAGAGCTGTACAGTACTTTCTCCATTCCCAAATATATATCGTTTTTATTTTCCGAGAAACAACTTTGACAAAATATATATTAAAAATATTAAAATTAAAATTTATGATACATAATTAGTATTATTGGAAGGACATTTGAATCTAATTTTTTAATAAATTTATTTTAATATATAAATATTATGCACGTATTTTCTATAAATCGAGTTAAACTTACGACACGAAAATAAAAAACGATAAATAATTTAGGAGAGAGGGAGTATGCCCATCTCAAATGGGTGGTTGACTTGTCCCGTCCACCCTATCACTGTTGTTCTTTTGTGTGGCTCGGGCGTCATCACCACCACTGAAATAAAACCTCATCAACCCGACAGCCCCAATTCCTGACCTAAATCTCACTGAAGAAATGGACAAGTAGACTTAAGATGGCAAGTATGAATAAATCTGGACAAAACATTTGACCATAAATTCCACATATTTCTTCTTGAAAATCCAACTACGGTAAATAGCAGTTTTCCTTAAAAATGAACATACAAATCTTGACCAATGCATTATTACATGATGAAACTAACAAATATGAACACATTCAGATGCATGATCACAGATGTACCAATACATCCGTCCCAAAAAACATATAACTATGGAATTTATGCAAGTCAAACTAGCTTAAGTTTGATAGAATTTATAATAAATTTAATTAACATTTATGTCTCGAACTAGGTTTAATACGAAATATATTTCACAATTAATTTAATGGTACTAATTTTATATCATAAATAAATGTTAGTACTTTGATTGTTTGAGGCTCTAAACAAATTCAAATGAAAAAGTTGTCAATTACAAAGTTATATAATTTTTCGAGATCAACAACTTCATTTTGGTAGTTTCTCTATCCGAGGTTGTTTAAAAAATTTAATTTCAAATTTCAGAAATTCAAATGTAGTTTTTCTTGACAAGATGATCTCAAATCAAAAAGTTGTCAACTACAAAGTTTTATAACTTTTCGAGATCTACAACTTTCATTTTGGTTGTTTCTCCATCCGAGGTCGTTTGAAAAATTCAAATTTAAAATTTGAGAAATTCAAACGTAGTTTTCTTTGATAAAATGATTTCAAATGAAAAGGTTGTCAACTACAAAGTTCTAAAACTTTTCAAGATCTACAACTTTCATTTTGATTGTTTCTTCATGCAAGGAAGTTTGAAAATTTAAATTTCAAATTTGAGAAATTCAAACATAGTTTTTGTTAACAAAATGATTTAAAATGAAAAAGTTGTCAACAACAAAGTTCTATAGCTTTTCATGATCTACAACTTTCATTTTTTGTCATCTTTTCATGTGACTTTGTTTTATGACTTCAAAATTTGAATTTAAAAAAATGTCAACTTGAAACAATATTTTGAAAGAGTAAATGATTTCAGCTAAAAAAGTCATCAACATAAAAGTTGTAGAACTCATCAAGATCTACAACTTTTATTTTAGTCATTTATTCATCCGACAAAGTGGTACTATACATTGTTCACAAAATTTACATATCTCTCTTATAGTTTCTTGAACTATAAAAGAGATATGCAAAATTTATGAACAATGTTACTATTACTTTGTCGGATGAAGAAATGACCAAAATAAAAGTTGTAGATATTGATGTGGTAGAATCGCTCGAAATAACACATCTTCGGAGGCGCTCGTCTTCCATCAGACACTAAGCACCCCGAAAGCAAGTTACATCGAACGGATTCCGTCGAGCACACCCCAAGGAGAACTCAAATAATCCATAGTTTTCCTCCATAATCCAATAATGATAACGAGTTTACAATACTTAGTCCATTTTATACAACAAGAGTTCTTAGAAATATATTATTACAATACTAAGTTCAAATTAGGAATTTAAACAGCGGAATTACAATAAACATCTAACGGTAGAATACAAGGATCCGTCTATGCCCACCAGAATAATCCTCCACACAACAGCTACTCTTCAAACTGCACCTGCAATAGGGGTAAATAAACCCTAAGTACAAAATGTACTCATAAGACTTACCCGACTAGTGGGAATAATTTCTCGACTCCAAAGGATATGATAAGCTTTATGGTTTGATGGGTTTCCTTTTTGCAAAAAATCAATACTAATAGTGAATCCTTATGTATGTTTCTTATTAGCAGTCATGATTAGTTCGTTATCTAACCATTCTATGTAAGCACTTGTTCTACTTTCAAGCAAGAGTTGAGTAAAAAATCTATTTCACTATTTTTTATCTTCCAGTTCTTACTACGGTGCTAGACCATAGACAAGTCGTACCGGATTATCTGACGATTCGCGAATCAATGTGCCCAGCTAGGTACCCCGAAACACACGCCCCGCTTGTACCCCAGGCACAAGTAGGACCAACCTATCACTCTCCTGTCAAGGGGTCTAGGTCCCCGTCCAAACTTGGACTCCAAGCCCCCACACCTGAGTCTCGGACTCAGTATGGTGCTTAGACCTCCACCATCCCCGCCTCCATTCAGTCGGTCCAAAAATAGCCGAAACCCACGACAAGAGAGCAATGAGCCTTCCCTGCTCCCATAAACAAGTACGTGCTCAGGATAATAAGTCTGTGACCTGACTAGAACCCAATGCAATGGCTGGTCCTTAACCGACACGGATAGAAAAAATAGTGTAACCAAGCTATGACCCATTGGCCGTGGGACACAACCTCTTACACTCACCAATACTCGTACCATATCCCTGCCCGATATCCATTTCTTTTCACCATTTTATCATGAGAGTGGTAAAAATAATCACCTATTGTGAGTAACGACAAGTTACTCACGCTATCGAAAAACCTAAGCATAGTAGCTACTCGACCTAAGCTAGTAGGACTCATAGGTAGGTATATCTATGCATGTAGTTTCAATATAAATCATGTAACGTAAATGCACATCATATATATATTTCCAGTGATTATTCAAAATAAGGGTTATGCATCGGGGCTTGCCTTGGGC